ATTCACTATTGCTGTCAATAATCAAAGCCCGAAGCAAGTTATACGGTGCATGCACACCATGATAATAGCTTCAGACGAGTAGCGGTGTCGGGGTAATGTAATGGACCACCATGAAATTGCCGTGAGTTTGCTACATACTGTACTGGTAGAACATCTCAGCAACACGAAAATCATAGTAGTGTACTTGTATTTTGACATGTATACTAGTATGTACCCAGTCATGCCTACTAATCCTACACATGATGGGCGCTACAAGTATACGTGTGTGATTGTAGTAGTACCAGTAAACAATACGATACCTTAGGACAAGTGTACTGTCAGCGATCATACTTCTGTTCATGTACTGTAGTGCCAACCAAAATTTCAGCCAATGCAGTGACGTACTGTAAGGACATGTACTGTCCTGCCTACTACAGGTAGTATTACTCGTACAGTACATGTACCGTACCGCAGTCCTCGTGTTGCATTTAAACGACATGTTAGCTCTAGCTAACCCACGCTGTGCCGACTCTAGTACCAGTGCCACAGCATACCTTCAACGGCAAGAAGAGTGTATACCCTACGACGAGTAGTCCTAGGAGTACACTAGCTTCGAGGCTATCCGTAATGCCCTACATCTAACCACCGTGCTGTAGAATTCGCTTCGGTACGTGAGAGAATGCACCCAACAACCCCAATGCACGCACATCCATGCGAATACAGTGCACTGTACTAGTACCAGCACGTAAACCCACATTGCACTAAGCAACTGTACCACTACACGTGAGGCACATCTATCTACAACCGAACTGTCATAGTAGTACAGTGCTATCATTACCGGAAGTGTAGTCCATGGCTTCGTTGCTTTGCGTGTCGACACCAAAGGCACAAACAACGGTTTCGTGCTCACAGTGTTATAATTCGCAGTAATATACTGTAAAGTTCAAACACATATATCAGCTCCAACAGTGTCATGGTTGAGATATGTGGCGGCGTTGCTAATGCCCCGGGTTCAAATCCCCAAATCAATGGTACTTTTGTGTGCAAATGTCCATGTGTGTGTGTTTTTGTCCAATCAGAGTGTATCAGAGTGTATGTGAAGAGCCCGCCAGTTCTTACATCTGATTTCATTATTTCCTCACGTTCGATGGGGCGGCTGCATTAGGAGGGTGCAGGAGGCAAGAGGCCACACAGTGACGGCGCGACGACATGAGCTCGGCGTCGTGGACAAGAGGTTAGCGATAGCGCCACATGACGGTCTTTGTGTTGTATATACTTGGTCTTAAGGAGTTAACCTTGAGTTGCTTAATGGTGCATACACTGTAGGTAATTGTGTGGTTAAGGTGTTTGCTATACACACATGAATTAAATGATGTAAGAGTTATACTAAGACTCGTTCATTTCACGGTGACTACATGTAACCTTGCCATAACTGTCATTCAAAAGCTACCTTGCATGTGATTCTCCACTGTTGCCTTATAAATGCGGGGTTATTGGTATAATCCTAAAGTGGTTGGGCATGGCACATGCATAGTGGTGTGGTAGGTGCTGGCGTCGACCCGTTGCGTGGTTCATTCGTGTGCGGGACTGCATGCTGGTAGGCGTGGACGTGGTGGTGGCGTCTGCCATGTCAGCACCAACCACCTGCCACTACATTGACACATTGACAAGTGTGTTAATTAGTACTATCAGTCTCTAGTAGTACTATATACTTTGTACTTACTCGGAGTACTCTGTCACGGCGTCTCAACCCATGTGTGTGACCGGCTCGAATATCTTTATAATGATAATCCAAAACTCAATTAACCATGTGTGTGACCGACCATACGGGTACCTGATGACACGCCAGTGGCGTAAACAAACACATGTACAGTGATCCCCCGATTTTTGCAGCCTGGTCGGAATATAATAAGATAGAGGTATCAGTGCCAAGGGTTATGCATATTAGGAGGTTTTCCTACCCGTTCTTCGGCTAAATACCTGACTGGATAAGGCAATTATAAGTTATTTGGCCACGCTATGTTAGAGCCTGTTAGTTTCAGAGGAGCATTTAACCTCCACGTTCTGTTATACCCGGTATATATTGATATAAAGAAGTACTTATGGGGTAAACAGATTGCACTTCATTATAAACTCAAAAGTACATCGAATGACATAGGATCGCCAATACGCAACTTACGGAGAGAATTTTGTACCCAAGCCGCCAACTCAGTGTCAAGCTCAGTTAGCTTTGGTCCCTTGATGTTGCAGCGTGACGCAGTGACGTCTGCATCAATGTTTGCTGCTGAGCTGGTGCAATCGTCCCGAACAATGCGACCAACAGTGGTGGGTGCATGATGACGCCGACCTCCTGTGTGATCCACGTGCATGTAATCGAGAACGTGCGGTCGGAAGAGCAGCTGTAATATGCTCTGACTCTGTCTTTTTGAATGAGGGTCAGTCGCTTGGCAGGTGCTGGCATTGTGTGATTGCACTGAGATCAAATGTCGTTGACCTGCGGTTGTTGCGCCGGATTGGCTACAATCGTTTGAATTTCAAATTGTATTAATCCCTCTTGAACTTAATATTGTATAGCTTTACATGGGATATTAGTTTATACCAGGCTGCAAAAATCGGGGGATCACTGTACTGTATATACTCCCTTGGGATCATCCCCAACGAATACTGATGCTGGAAGCCCATGTGTTTTCCATGTGGTTTTCGTGAAAGTTCGTGTGTATTTCGTTATTTAGTATGTGATAAAAACGGTGTCTCCCTCCCGCATTCGAGACACCGTTTTGGAATGCGGGAGGTCGCTACACCATGCTGATATATAGCCATGACGACACTATGAAAGTCATGCTCTCGGTTATAGCACCTGACAGTATAGATCTATTGTTCGTTCATTAAGGTCACCTCCACATTCGGCGTTGGCCCTGACGTACAGACCTCACGCCTTGGCGCGACGGCGGCAAACATGGTGGCGGCAGGTTTTGGGGTATAAAACTCTACGTATCTATAAATATATGTATTTATGGAGACAAATTCTGAGAAATTTCCCGAATATCATACTGAAACCAAGTCAAAAACAACATGGCAATCTTTATGGACCAGAGTAGTATTAGAAATGAACTTTGTCTAGGATTATTAGGAATAATATTAAAGAGACAAAATAACATACTATACTAATGTCTATAGAACTTGTTTTATTATCTATAAATTTAACATCAAACTTTAAACTGCTGCTATAGTCCCCCCAAAAATATTCCTATTTTTTTAAAATATATTTTGGAGCAGGTCATGTCTGTGATACTAGCGCTATTACGCATTGCCATTATAATCATGCTCCGGATCAGCAGCACGATTTTCATGTTAATCGGTCGATAAGAGCACGCGCAAGTTCACCCAGCAAGCGTGAAAACCCCAAGCACGCGTTAACCCCCCAAAAATCGTGACAGGAGTAAATACCCCAAAAAGCACGCGTGAAAACCCTAACGTTACTGGGACGGACGGAATGCAACGTCCACCGAAGATTTTTGAGTACTGTATCATAATAAATTTCATCCAATGATACTCAAGATTCCAAATACAATTATCTTATTGGCAGAATTTCTATTCATTGCGCCAGCGGGAAAAACTTGGCTTAAAAAATACATGCACATCGAAATATAAGGCGTGCGTCGTATCCAATCTCAACTAAGCACGAAGCCATCGGTCTACTTGAGACCTTATCTGGTCGAGAGGTGGTGAAGCTAATGGGCGTCCCACGACGAATAGTACGATCGTGGTACGCTCAGCGCTTTGAGCTCATTTCCTTCGATGGCAATAAGAAGAACAAGAAAATCGAACCAGGTGGACGATACCAAGAGTTCCCGGACCCACCAGGTTTAGTAGTATTTATAAACAAAATGCGAGATGACGAACGACGACTCACATGATCACATGGATCAAGATCAACCAAAGGGCGTGGTTAATGTTGTACCTTGCAACGAAGAAGTCTGATGTCACGTACGACTCCCTCCTCCGACTGCTGCGTCGCGTCTGCTATCGCTATGGGTTCTCTCGACAGCGGCAGACAAAGAACAAGCTCAAGCAGGCGGTCCTGACTGAAGTCCACGATGGGTTCGCGCGTGACTTCCATTGGGAATACCAATCCTACGAAAACGACTGCGTGTTCAACGTCCACGAGGCAAGGATGTACTACAACCTCCCTCCTACGTACATTTGGGCTGTTCATGCCCAAATTGTACGTATCATGTACGTCATGATAAGCTGCCCCTGCTATTGATCATGAAGGGAGTACCCGGCGCGAAACCAATGAGTTCCCCACGTTTCCTCGTGGCCATCACTACGCGATGTAGAATAATGGGTGTGGAAACAGTCAGTCAGTATCTGCGTGATGCGCTTAGCGAGGCCATCGTAGAACCTTAAGTGGTTTGAGTGCCATGTCTCGGACGAGTCGTACAAGATCATGCATGAAGAACTTGGCTCCCACCTTTGTGCGCTGCCTCCGAACGCAACATCGGTATGCCAACCACTTGACGTCGGGGTGATGGCGCCGTTCAAGCGCAACCTACGTAACTTGTGGTTGTACGAAGAGTAACTTGAAGGGGACGTCGATGAAGGTCCGTACTCACCAACTGCTCGTCAAAAGCGAATGGCCATGGTGTGATATGGTCACTGCTGACGTCATTCGACAGGCATTTGCCAAGGCACTTCGTGTAAATTGAATACAAATATTTTTTTACAACTTAAATACATTCTATGTCATACAAAATTCCTGATATTGAGTGGAGTTAAATTTTTAGAAAAAAGTTCGACGCGCCCCGAACCCGGGGCTCACTCAAGACACACAACGTGTTTAACCACTGCGTTATCAATCGAAGTATTGCTTGAGGTGATCTTCGATGGGAGCCAAACCCAAGGTATCTAAAGTGTCAGTGTCCATACACGCGTCATAGAACTCGGTAAGTTTGGGCACCTTGGTGTTGGGTGTGGAGTATCTTAGCAAGAGACAGGTCGTATCCTTGCAAGCGCACTCCATGCCCATTGGCCGAGGATCTGTCAACACGACCGAAGAGAGCTCGATAGGGGATGCAAATGTGCGTTGTGAATCAGTATATCTGAGACCTTTAACATTGTCAGTCTTCTTTTACCTTTGAACCCGGTGCATCGAGTTCTAAAGGAGTCACTGCCAGTCCAGGACAGGCAGACACAACAATGGGGGAATAAGTGAATTGGTTGTTCGACTTAGCATCAGCCATCCTCCAACGCTTCCTTGCACGCCGATGGGACCCCAGCATCAAATGGTACAATCAACAATAATCACTGCCACACTTCGTAATTCGTTTTCTCACAACTTAGAAGTGTATACGATGGCGTGGTGGTGACATGCGCAGTGATGGTGGTCACAAAGCGCTGCGCATGATGTCATCGTCATGCCATCAAGTACCCTTCTAGTGAACAAAGTAGTGTGAAAACTTGGTGGTCGATTTAGAGGAAACACAGATCGATGTGACATGGCTAGTCGTGGTGATATACTGCATGTACATTGTACAATGGAATGGGGTGCGCATTTTTTTCGAGCAAATGATGGAGCATTTCCGAGCACACCTTGGAATGGATCGATTTCGAGCAAAATAGTCCAGAGAGACAGTTTCCGAGCGCACTTAATAGACACAAGAACAAGTGTTAGTCATTGGTGAATTTCCGAGCAAATAACATCATATGGTTATTAAAATGCCAATGCTGAGTAAAGTGGTGCATTTACTTACTCCGAAGTGTTATTTATACGTAGTATGTACGAGTATGATATTATCCGTGGGGATATATACCCAATCATCGAATTTATCCCACTGCATCACAAACAATAATTGTTGACTGCATCATGGTCACCAGCCCCAGCATTCTTTCACCAGAACCGTACCCTTTCCCCACGGACGGCCACGGAAGCTCGAGTCCATCATGTGCAGTCCATCCGGTGGCTGCTTTACCCCCGCGCACAAATCCTGGTGTGGCTCACAGCCAGCACCGTCGTGATCGCCCCAATCCTGCACCTCCTCTTGTTCTTGCCGGATACGTTCACATCGAACGACCTCATCAACGGACCATCCCACGCCTACGCTCCAGAATAATGCCCAAAAACCCTGCTAACGTTACCTCAGTGACTACGATTGCTGCACATATGACCACCCCATCATTCCATTGGGAAAAGATTATTTTCGAGCAAACGATGGATTATTTCAGAGCGAGGCTTTGGGATGGAGCATTTTAGAGCGTACTTAGGCTGTTGCAGTCTTTTCGAGAGTACTTAGTTGGGACATAAGCTGTTGTGATGGAGTAGTGGTGGGTGGTAATCACTTTGACTGCTAGTCAGGACTACCACCAACGCTCCAGGATAACGATAGTCATTGACGGTAATGGTCTTTGCCGGGGTTAGTATGCATTAGTTTTCCCTATTTGCTTGAACAAATAGTTTCTCAAATTTAATCACTAGGCATTTGTAAGTGAAATGAATTAAATTTTGGCCAATTTGTTTTCAACAAATCGAACTTATAATGCATCGTGCCGTTATTTTCGCCCATATTTCATGTCATTTTCTGGATTATGTGAACTACAGTTCATTATTATGTACAATTCGATACAATGTACAATTGTACGTAAAGCTCCAGCATTCCCAGACAGCGGGACACTACAACTACTAACTTACTATTTACGTAGTATGCAACTCACAAAATTCGAGATCTCATCGGGTTATCATTGAAAGCAAAACATATCGGCAATAATAACGCCAATTTACAATGTACTACCACCGATTGGAAAAGATTGATAGGTTTCACTTTCTTGAGCTTTGAACAAAGGTATCTCAGTCAAAATTGGTTATTGCCGATGACAATAGGTATATATATTGTTCATTCGATTCGAAATTGGAGTGGGGTGCTCAATCGAATAAGCAGCACCAAATCGGCAGAGAATCGATCGACCAATCAAAACACAAAATATGAATCAACTAGCCAATCAAATCCACTCTTCGAAGAATTCAACTTCGAATTAGTGTGTGATTGAAATTAGTGTGATACTGAACGATCTAAGGCAGTACAAAGAATCGATCGATCGATTTGGCGAATCAGCACAAAAGTCCACATATTGGGTAAAAGGACAATACTTCCATGTAGAGAATTTCACTAGAAATCCGAGTTTGTTCATGCTTACGGAGTCCAAGTAGAGTATCTTTGAAGTTATGGTTAAAATCAATCAGGAATGATGCTCAAAATTTCCCTGTGCTTCTGTACACCTATATCTGATTTCTCCTGCCTTATCGGTTTATACAGTGAGAAAATTCGCTAACGTGAAGCGATATCAGAAATATTTCGCAAACCTGAAGTGGTTTAGGGTTACGCAAAGCACTCGCACGAGCTTGTGTGCGAAGCCTGCTGTACTTGTAAAAGGAAATTAGCGTTCTGGTCAGAAATACGACTTCTTCCAGTAGAAAACAAAGCACGTGCTATTTGTGCTTTCATGTTTTAGACCAATCACACTTGAGTATTTGTACCCGAAAAGCGTAATTCGACTTCTCCAACCAAACTCCAGTAGAAAATATAACACGTGCCTCCATACTCGATCATACACATGAAATTTATGTAATGAGGTATTTACAGTTTCGAATGCAGGGGGATGTAGTGCCCTGGCGTGTGCAGCAAAAAGATGGCTCTTGAAGACGGAACGTTCCGGCGGTGCATTTTCGTTCCTGGGTGTTTCAATGATGCCATTGTTTTGTGCAAGCCCTTTGTTGCGTTGGACGGCTGTCACATGAAAGGACTGTACAACAAGTCTGGCGTGTATCTGACAGCAAGTATGAAGGACGGCGCGAACAGGAATCTCCTGATAGCGTTGGCTGTCGTTCCAACCGAAAACGAAGTCAACTGGACGTGGTTTCTACAAGAGTTGAAGACTTGCCAACTCAATATTCCGAGCAAATTCCTATTTTTGTCCGATAGGGATAAAGGTGCAGTTCCTGTAGTGTTGTTTGGCATTTACATTCACTTGTCTTGTAGGACTAATCAATGCAGTGCGCCTTGCATTCCCTGCAGCCCACCACAGATACTGCATGTGGTACGTATTCATGAACATTCGAGCACTGAAGTTAAGCTGTCAAGCGAAGACAAAGCAGCGATATACAGAAGTGCCGATGCGCCGACTAAAGCAACGTTCGATGAAGCAATGGATGATTTGAAAACAAGAAACGTGAACGCTTGGACGTACTTGGCGAACTTGAAGCCTGGTTTTCAAAGTTGGTGCCAATTCGCTATCGTGGAAGCTGGATATGCAACTATTGGAGAAAAAACGTCAAACGCTGCTGAACAGAACAATGCATGGCTTGGGGCTCTTACTTCGATCCTCCGACCCCGTGACTGCGTATTACGTTTATGTCGCCAAGCTCCTGGCGACCTTCAAGAAGCGACGGCAACTACTTGTGCATGGAAATCCTACGCAAGTAGTCGATGTTGTGATGCGATGCGTACACAACACCGCGACGAAGGCTAAGTCACTCATAGTACGTACAGTAGCATGACAGTCGAAATCAATATGTTTCACACGTTTTAGGCAACGGAGCTGACGAGCCAGAAGAATGACCCATTGTGTTCTGGGAAGTTCCTTGTGAAAAACGGTGAACAAAGTCAATGGCTTGCAAAACACGTTCACATTGTGGACATCAAAAATCAAACCTGCACCTGTTGTCTATGGCAAAATTCGCTCATACCTTGCAAGCACGCGATGGCGACGCGAAAACAATGCAGTAAGAGCACCACATGACAAAACTGTAGTAACAATATTGTGTAGAGTTTCCCAAGTTTTACTTCAATCGAGCGCTGCTGTCGTTGTATCAAGGACTTGTGTTTCCCTCGCTACCTACGGACCTACAAGATGATGAATATGTTCGCCCGCCATCTGTGCTCCGTCAGGTGTGCTGTCTTGCACACAAACCATATTGACCGTTGTACAAATAGAAAGTTTCGAAGCGCGGACGACCAAAGAAAAGACGCTACAAGTCGCGTGGCGAATAGAACATGCTGCTGTACACATTGGTGTATTTGAATAACAAAATAACAGAACTCGTAGTTAATCCGTGTAATAAAATCGGTAATCTCGACTGTATGTCGTGAAGAGTTCTTTGCCAGTCGGTACAGGCTTCGTAACTTTGATGCAAATTGCATTTCCCAACCGTGCTAGTTGGCAATTCTTCAAACATCCAGAGCGTTCGCGACTTTCGCGATTGACAAACGACCCCAGTCCACTACCAGCCACCGGATCGTTCAAACCAAGCAGCCACTACTTCCTTTTTGTGACACCCAGTTCACAGGCGTAAGCATGGTCTTTTTGCTCCACGAAGACCTTGGTTCCTTCGTACGCAGTGCAAATGTCACCTGGCAGCAGATCGATTGCAGCAAACAAGCCTCGGCCAGCACCAGGAATGGTCGACTCGCCAATCTTCACAAACGGATTGACAGCTTTGTGGGCTCCTCTGAGACGTGCGTTGGCAAAGGTAAACGTATCGCTTGCTTGCCTTGATGGGTTTGGCACGCATCGCTCGAATTGCAGTCTTGGTCGCTGTCCAACGCGCTTTTCGCGCCTTGGCTTGCTCTTGTTTGTGGACAAAGGTCTTCTTTTCGAAAACAGTCACAGTGACTCCGTGCTTCCGTTTGCAGTGTGCTCGGAGGCTTCTTGCGTTGGTGTAACGTGACGAGCAATTGGGACATTCGAAGTTTCCATCCGACTTCTTGAGCACAAGGTTCGAGTTCATGGCAGAATGGATTGTGTGGGAAGTCAAGTTGATGTTTCAAATACTCAAGTATGATTGGTCTTAAACATGAAAGCACAAATAGCACGTGCTTTGTTTTCTACTGAAAGAAGTCGTATTTCTGACCAGAACGCTTTTCGGGTACAAATACTCAAGTATGATTGGTCTTAAACATGAAAGCACAAATAGCACGTGCTTTGTTTTCTACTGAAAGAAGTCGTATTTCTGACCAGAACGCTTTTCGGGTACAAATACTCAAGTATGATTGGTCTTAAACATGAAAGCACAAATAGCA